CACCTGTTCATTCAGGACAAATGTGGAGGGTTCCACACCCGTAGGGGTACACAGATCTTGGGGATACCAGGCAGGCTGGGCAGAGACTCCAGCTGCTTACAGTGGAAGTGACAGCCCTCGGGGTCGGGAGAAGGGAACCACAGCCTTGGGAAGCTGAGTGTGGGGACAGTCCCTCCAGGAGGGGACAGAGGCCCGGTGGGCTGGCTGTCCTCTTGGGCCACTGTGAAGACTGTTGTCTTCAGGTCACAGCCAAAGATGCTGCCAGCACCATGCACATCCAGGCACTTGTCTGGCCCTGCCAAGTTGACAACCGTCTGTCACTCCTCGGATGGGGACAGTGCTGCCACACCTTCCCCACCAGTCTAGATCTGACACCCATGTGGGATCTGTCCCCTCCAGTCTCCCAGGAGCCACTTGGAGCCTTAAGTCTTTCTCTGGGGAGAGAAGCACCTGACAGGAGTCTTCCTTAGCCATCCCAGTGTGCAGGAGGGGAGAGGTGGGCCAGCGCCCACCGTAGTCAGGTGTGAGAGACCCTACTCCATGCCCGGATCCTGATACACTATAAGGAAGTGCGGGAGAGACTTAGGACCACTCAGAGGTGCCTTTCCACGCGCGCTTAGAGTGTCCCAGCCCCTCCTCCATCACAGCTGCTAAACCCAGAGGTCCCAGCGCCGGCTCCTCTGAGCTTTAGAATGTCATTAAAAAGATGAGCCTGAAAGAAAAATCTATTAAAATTGAAATTAACAATCCCCCAGGCCCCGTGAGGCAGCAGCTCTTCCCTATCTTGGCGAGAAAAATCTTGCCTGTGTGCCCAAGAGGCAGTGCCCGGCACCGCTCTCAGGCGTGCGTGTGTGCCGGCAAAAGGTTGGGAATGCCCGCCAGCAGACAGACAGAGCTAGGAAGGCCTCGACTCAAAACGCTGCCTGCCAAATGACCCGACGGCCCCGCCTCGCGAGCCCCGCCCCTCATCGCCGCGACCACACCCACTCCAGCTTCGCGGCCACGCCCTCCACACCACCTCTCTGCTCAGCCACTCGCCCTGGAGAGTTCAGTCCGTGAACTCCCAGTGCCCGCTGTGCACCTGCCTGGCTGAGGGCTGGGGCAAGGGCAACTGTAGTTAACCCTTGCTGTGTGCATTTGCTGGGGCTGCCCCCCTGGAGAATCACACAGCAGGTGCTTAACCACAAGAACAACCTATTCTGCCGCCTTTCAGGAGCCCGGCCACTCCAAGATCCAGGCTTGCCTCCTGGAGAGGCCTCTCTCCAGGCTGACAGCTGCCGAGCCTGTCCTCACGTGGTCTTGCCGTGTGTGTGTGTGTGTGTGTGTGTGCGTGCGTGTGTGTGTCCTACCCTGCTCTGCTTCCAGGGACCCTGAGCACCTCGTTTGAAATCAGTCACCTCTTTCAAGACTCTGCCTTCAGGTATGACCACGTCCTGCCATAGTGGGACTTTAACCTGGAGCTTTGGGAAGACAGAACGCAGCCCAGAGCACTTGTCCCTGACCAGGAATGAGGCAGGATTTTGAAGGATTTTGAATGCCTCATCTCTTACTTATTCTCTCCACAACCTCGGAGGTGCCAACTGTCATACCCCCTCCCCCATGATACTTACAGCTGAGCAAACTGGGACTCGGAGATGGAGGGAACCGCAATTATCCAAGGTCACCTGGCCGCGCTGTCTCACCTCCCTATCGCTGTAGCTGCCTCCTTTCCTTTTTCTTCCTTTCTTTTTAAAGTGTTTACTTGGCAAATGATAATTATTCGTATGTATGGGGCACCATGTGATAATTGAATGCGTGTATACAAGCACCATGTGTAATGACCAAATCAGGAAAAATAGCACTTCCATTTCCTTAAACATTTGTCACTTCTTTGTGTTGGGAACAGTCCTGATTCCCTCTGCGGTCTTTCTACAACACAAGTCACTTGTAGCTGCAGGCCCCCTGCTGTGCCAAGCAGCAGGACTCTGTTCTCCACCATCAGAAGGTGGGCTTTGTGACAGCGGGAGTTGGTTGCCCACCCGGGATGCCCACTGAGTGAGGGCCAGAGATGGGCTGCCGCTCAAGACTCTCAGAAGCTGCAGCTCAGAGCTGAGGCCCTCGCCCCTGAAAGCCACAGCTCCCCAGGACTAGGCCTGCCCAAGCGCAGGAGCTGCAGAGCCAGGCAGCCAGCACAGCCCTTTGGTAAAAATCAATGCCATCGCCAGTGAGCAGCTGGGCCGAGCTTCCCGGGGCTCCACGGTATCCCAGCAACAACACGCGCATCCCCTGTCTGCGAGCTCCTGAGAAGACACTGCTCTCAGACGCCACCAGCCAGTGCAGCGCAGGAGCCGCTAAACCACAGCCTCCTCCCAGGCTGCAATGGGCTGTGCAGACCCCCAGGCTCCTGTGAGATCCTCCCCTGGGCCAGACACAGACCTCCAAGAGGGGACGGCTGAGAGAGGTGTCATGGGCAGAGAAGCCACCACACAGTCCCCAGCCTCTGCTGCCCTCCAGGTGGGCAGTTAACCCTGTGTGAGCAGGGAAAGTCTGCAAGGTGAGAAGTTGCAATGCACGGGAGTCGGTAGCAGGTGCATTGGCAGGGTGCTTTATGGAAAGGCCATGCACTTGAATCAGAAGGTAGTCTCCTCATTCGCTTGCATCAGCTACAGCCGTGGGTGCCAAACCCAGACCCTGTGCATGGAGTCCACATCCCCTGTGCTGGTCTGCTCAGCACCACTGCAGGGCACCAGCCTGTGTGGTCAGGCACCCAGCTCCAGAGCAGGAGACCTGGCTGGCTGGGAGATGGTCCCCTGGCAGTCCTGGGGGTAGGGGTTGCTGGCAGCCTTTGGTCCCTGGGGGACGGAAGCCCAGCCCCAGGCTCTTCCCCAAGACATGGATCTTGCAGCCCTTTCTTCCCACCCATTTAGAGTCACATCCCTAACTACCCCATGGTATTCCTTCTGTCTTGTTTGTTGCTTTAGTTAATGCTATTTTCTCCTCTTCTTTTAACTTTCAAAAAGCTTTGTCGTTCTCTTCCTGTTATATTTCAGCCTTCCACTGGGGAAGCTGTCAGCTCATTTGATCCGGCTTATTTTTTTTCCTTTTCTTTTATTCTTTCATTTTAAAAAGCATTTTGTGAACAATAATTGTGCATAGGTGTGGGCTACAGTGTGACATTTCAATGCTTGTATACAATACGTATTGATCAAAACAGAGTAATCAACATTTCTCCTACTTTGCCCTTACTTCACAACTGGAGGCTAGGAACTTTTCTCTTCTATTTGTTCATAAACTATGTAATTAGTTCGGTGAACGACAATCTCCCAGTTTGAGGGGTAACATTGGGAAGTTCTTCCTGTGATCCAACTCTGACTTGGTGCCCATTATCCAAACTCCCTCTCTCCCCGTCTACCCATAACAGGTCTTGGTAATCACCATCCTGTGTTCAGATTGAGTTTTTTTTTTTTTTAATTTATTTTTGTTGTTGTTTTTAGCTCCTCTACATATGAGGAAGAACACGCAGTATCTGTCTTGCTGTGTCTGGCTTATTTCACTCAACATGATGTCCTCCACTTCCCCCCGTTTTGCTGCAAACAACCGTTATTCATTTTTTTATTGCGGAATAATATTCCACTGTGCATACATAACATACTTTCTTTATCCATTCATCTGATGAGGGACACCTTAGTTGTTCCATATCTTAACTATGTTAATGGTGCTGCAACAAACATGGTATCTCTTTGATACACTGAGTTCATGTCTTTGGGATACACTGTTTACTAAATCACTTGGAAGTTCTATTTCTGTTTTGTTGGTTAAGAAATCCCCATAGGGGCCGGTGCTGTGATGTAGTGGATTAAAGCTCCAGCCTGCAGTGCCGGCATCCCGCATGGGCGCGGGTTCAAGTCCCAGCTGCTCCACTTCTGATCCAGCTCTTTGCTATGACCTGGGAAAGCAGTAGAAGATGGCCTAAGTCCTTGGGCCCCTGCACCCAGGTGGGAGACCTGGAGGAAGCTCTTGGCTCCTGGCTTCAGATCAGCTCAGCTTTGGCCGTTGCGGCCATCTGGGGAGTGAACCAGCAGATGGAAGACTCTATGACTCTACTTCTCTCTGTAACTCTTTCAAATAAATAAAATAATTCTTTAAAAAACAAAACAAAAAAAAAAAACAAGAGGGGCTGGTGCCATGGCTTACTTGGTTAGTCCTCCACCTGTGGCGCCGGTATCCCATATGGGCACCAGGTTCCAGTCCCGGTTGCTCCTCTTCCAGTCCAGCTCTCTGCTGTGGCCCGGGAAGGCAGTGGAGGATGGCCCAAGTGCTTGGGCTCCTGTACCTGCATGGGAGACCAGGAGAAAGCACCTGGCTCCTGGCCTCGGATCGGCGCAGCCAGCCGTGGCGGCCATTTGGGGGGTGAACCAAAGGAAGAAAGACCTGTCTCTCTGTGTGTGTGTCTCTCTCTCACTGTCTATGACTCTACCTGTCAAATAAAAAAAATAAGAAATCCCCATAGTGTTCGCCATAGTGGCTGTACTAATTTAAATTCCCACCAGTATTGTACAGGAGTTCATCTTTCTGCACATCCTCGCCAGCATTTCTTACTTTCTTTTTTTATTTACTTATTTGAAAGGTGGAATTACAGAGAGGGAGAGGCAGGAAGAGAAGTCTTCCACCCACTGGTTCACTCCCCCAAATGGCCATACAACAAGGGCTGAGCCAAACCGGAGCCAGGAGCCAGGAGCTTCACCTGGGTCTCCCACATGGTGCAGGGGCCCAAGCACTTGGCTCACAGGCACAGTAGCAAGGAACTTCTGGATCGGAAATGGAGCAGCCAGGACTTGAACCAGCGCCCATAGTAGATGCCAGCACTGCAGGCAGTGGCTTAACCCTCTACACTGCAGCACCAGCCCTTATAATAACCATTCTGACAGGGGTGAGGTTATGTCTCATTGTGGTTCTGATTTGCATGTCTCTGATGGCTAGGGATGTTGAGCATTGCTTCATGTATTTGTTGGCCATTTGAATTTCTTCTTCTTTTTTTTTTTACAGGCAGAATGGACAGCAAGAGAGAGAGAGAGAGAGAGAGAGAGAGAGAGAGAGAGAGAGAGAGAGAAAGGTCTTCCTTTTACCGTTGGTTCACCTCCCAATGGCCACTGCGGCCGGCGCACCACGCTGCTCTGAAGCCAGGAGCCAGGTGCTTCTCCTGGTCTCCCATGCAGGTGCAGGGCCCAAGCACTTGGGCCATCCTCCACTGCACTCCCAGGCCACAGCAGAGAGCTGGACTGGAAGAGGGGCAACCGGGACAGAATCCGGCGCCCCATCCGGGACTAGAACCCAGTGTGATGGCGCCGCAGGCGGAGGATTAGCCTAGTGAGCCGCGGTGCTGGCCTTGAATTTCTTCTTTCGAGAACAGTCTATTCAGATCCTTGGCCCACTTCTTAATTGCACTGGTTGTTGTTTTTGAATTTTTTGAGTTGCTGATATATTCTGGGTATTACCCTCTGTCAGATAAGTAGTTTGCAAATACTTTCTCCCATTCTGCTGGATGTCTCTTCACTCCATTGCTCGCTTCTGAGCTTGATAGAATCCGTTTGCCGCGGTTTGCTTTGGTTGCCTGTACTTTGGGGACTTTTCTTATCTTTACACTTTGTTATTTCCATCATGTTGTATTTTGAAGATCTTTTTCTTTCTGGCCTTGTTCACGGTGGAGGGGAGAGCCCAGGTTTTGGGGCTGGGCAGACCCTGACTCAGACATAGCTCCGCCAGGCTGCTGACTGGTTGGTCTCAGAGTCTGTGTAAGGGTCTGAGTCTCGATTTCCTTATGATGAACTGGGGTGGTCACCCATTTGGGGAGATGCACACCTGTGCAGGGTTGATTTTAAGCATCTGGTTCAGGGCCAGCAGGTGCTACTGCTGGGCCGAGTTCTGGGATCCTGGTGTGCTCCAAATTATGGTCTGGATAGTTCCCTTTATCTTTCTTGCGCACTTCTGGGCAGCGGTGAGAAAGGTCTCAGCCACAAGCCAAGGGACCTGAACGAAGAAGCAGGGACAGTTCATGCGCAGTCCTAGCTGTACCCAGCCCACCCCTTCCGTTCTTTGGGAAACTGCCCAGCTCTGGCTGGCCAGGGAGCTGCCAATCAAGCACAGCGCCCTGCCCTACCCCTGCGGCAGGATTGGAGGAACAGCCCACCGGAGACCACTCTGCATCCCTTCCCAGCACTTTTGAGCTGGATCTAAGGATTGGGGTGCATATCCTCCTGGAGGAGGACCTGTCAATCACAAATCTGCAGCAGGCAGGAGCCCAGAGAGGAGGCTCCAAGAGGAGGGTGGAGGAGGGTGCGGGCACAGTGACCCCGGTGCCAGGGCCCCTCAGGCGGAGCAACAGTTTGGTTCCCGCTAGGCTCATTTGGAGGGAAGTCTGCCTCTGGGTGCGTCACGCTTTGGGTCTCACCCCTATTTGATTGAGGTGAGACTCTGGACTTGTGACTTTTGAGCTGGGGAGGAGTTAAGGCTCTCGGAATCCCTGGGAGTGAAGTATTTTGCATGTGAGGATATAAATGGGGAGTGGGCAGGGATAAAATGTGAGTTGAGGGGCTGGTGCTTTGGCGCAGCGGGTTAAAGCCCTGGCCTGAAGCACCGGCATCCCACATGGGCACCGGTTTGAGTCCCGGCTGTTCCTCTTCTCATCCAGCTCTCTGCTGTGGCCTGAGAAATCAGTAGGACATGGCCCAAGTCCTTGGCCCCTGCACTGTGTGGGAGACCCAGAAGAAGCTCCTGGTTCCTGGCTTTGGATCGGTACAGCTCCGGCCATTGTGGCCATCTGGGGAGTGAACCAGCGGATGGAAGACCTCTCTCTCTGTCTCTACTTCTCTCTGTAACTCTGTCTTCCAAATAAATAAAATAAATCTTTAAAAAAATGTAAGTTGAATATATCTTCTTCCTCTAGACTCCAGGCATTAAATTTTTTTTGAAAAAAAGATTTATTTATTTACTTGAATGGCAGAGGGAAGAGAGGGGGGAGAGACAGACAGAGAGAGACAGACAGACAGACAGGCAAGGAAGACAGAGATCCGCCATCTGCTGGTTCACACTCAAGAATGACTGACAGCCAGGGCTGGGCCAGGCTGAAGCCAGAGGCCAGGAGCTCCAGCTGTTCTCTCACATGGTGGCAGGGGCTCGAGGACTTGGGCCAGCTTCCGCTGCTTCCCCAGGTGCATTAGCAGGGAGCTGGATCCCACGTGCATTAGCAGAGCAGCCGGGACTCAACTAGCACTCCATTCTGGGATGCCAGCACAGCAAGTGGCAGCTTAACCTGCTGCGCCACAAAATCAGCCCCCAGGCATTGACTCTGAATGGCGCAGGTGAAAAATATTAAGAGGGAACCTTTGAGAGCAGATAAGGCCGAGGGCTTCTCCCTGGTGAGCAGGATCAAGGCCCTTATAAAAACACTTTTCTGCAGCACTGGCTCCCACCACGTGAGAGCAGTGTGACCCTCCTCTCTGGAGGGTGCAGTGTCTCGGGGCCAGCTTGCAAGCCTATCAGACAGCTGAGCCTGGCAGCACCCGACCCTGTACTTCACGTCTCAGGTACTTTGTCACCACAGCACGAACTAAGCATCCTCACTCGACAACCCACAACTCTGCCAGGCCCCCAAGGATGTATTCCCACAACCCAAGCACCCTGCCCAATGCAGTCAGACTCAGCGGGAGGGCGGCGCACACACTGGGGGCCCACCTACCAAGCACAGCTGGCTTCTCCCCCAGGAGACAAACTGCCATCCCCTTGGCAGACTGGCTCTTGAGATGCCTGTGGGTGGTCTCCATGCCCTACCTGCAAAGTCTTCTTTGCAAGTGGCCCCTGGCAAGTGGTTACCTGGGCGGGGGGGGGGGGGGCGCGTCACTGGCTTGGGAGGGTAGGTGGGCATCCAGGTGGCCTGTCAAAATACTGCATGATTTCAGGCATGGAAAGCCAAGACTCTGTGGGAAAAAAAAAAAAAAAAAAACACATGAAGGATCTCCGTGAGTGAGACCCCAGTGGAAAGAAATGGCCATCAAAGAAGGAGGTACTTTTCTCTGTAAACTGAGCCATGGCTCACTTGGTTAATCCTCCACCTGTGGCACCGGTATCCCATATGGGCACCAGTTCTAGTCCCAGTTGCCATTCTTCCAGTCCAGCTCTCTGCTGTGGCCCCGGAGGGCAGTGGAGGATGGCCCAGGTGCTTGGGCCCCTGCACCCACATAAGAGACCGGAAGGAAGCACCTGACTCCTGGCTTCGGATTGGTGTAGTTCCGGCCATAGCGGCCATTTGGGGGGTGAAACAATGGAGGGACGACCTTTTTCTCTGTCTCTCTCTCTCTCACTGTCTATAACTCTACCTGTCAAATAAATTTTAAAAAAAAGAGAGATAGAGGAGAGAACTTGCACTTTGCTTGTGGCCCTGTCTAAATACTGATGGAGTTTGTGGACTCAAAAGGCTTCCATGGCCTAGGCAGCTCATGTCAAGAACCTTTATGATATCATAAATAAGAGTGCTAATTATTAAATCAACAACAGGAATCACTGCACTAACTTCCCATACAGGACCTCTGTCCTCAAAGAGTTGTATTATAATTATGTCTAAGTGCTCTCAACAGATGTATCATTCTTGGGTGCTTCTTTAAAGTTAATTAAGTTTCTTTAAAAAAAAAAAAGTGAAATTAATTTCAAGGTGCAGCCATTGTTTCCACTGTTGAGGAAGGTTCCCTCCCCCCCCCCCCCGCAAATTGTTGAACTCTTTACTTAGTATAGAGTTGGTCTTCAGTGTATAAAGTTAATTGAAAATGGATCTGAGTGGAGAACGGGACTGGGAATGGAAGAGGGAAGAGGAGTGGGGTGGGAGTGTGGGTGGGAGGGCTGGTATGGTGGGAAGAATCACTATTTCCTAAAGTTGTACTTACGAAATCCATGTCGTCTGTATTCCTTAAATAAAAGATTTCTTTGGGAGAAAAACACAACACAGAAAGAGATAAAGCTTAAAAAAAAAAAAAGGACACTGCATGGTCTGAGTCTCAAAGCCCCTGAGGTGTGCAGGGTGTGCTCTGACAGCCTGGGACAGGCCAGGGCTTGGTGGTGGTGGGCGGGGGCGGGTCCACAGGCCCTGAGCCCAGTCAGCCTCACCATCCAAGGCACAGCCCTTCCAGACCAACAACAGGTCTGGTTCCCTGCAAGAAGACACAGGGTACAGAGGGCGTAGAGGGAGTCGTCCAGTCAGATGGCGGGGGTCAGCAAGGTGCAAAGGTTCTGAGAAAGACATGGCAGGTGCAGGCCCCTCACTGGGCCTTCAGCCCTGCTCAGAAGTGGCATCTCCTCACCCAACAGGCAGCTGCGCGTGGACAGTCCCAGGTTAGAGTAGCAGCCGCTTTTCAAAGGACCTAAGAGGGTGGCCATGGAAAGCAGGGCAGGCTGTCAGCACAGCTGTGGGCGCAGGCTTCTCAAGGGTAGGCCCCTTGTGACAAGGCTACGCTCCTCATTGAAGCGAGGGTGGACGGAGCACGCCCTTATCAGTCTACAAAGCCCTAATCATGGGGCCAGCACTGTGGTGTAGTGAATAAAGCTGCCACCTGCCGTGCTGGCATACCATATGGGTGCCGGTCCGAGACCTGGCTGCTCTACTTCCGATCCAGCTCTCTGCTATGGCCTGGGAAAGCAGTAGAAGACGGCCCAAGTCCTTGGGCCCTTGCACCCAGGTGGGAGACCTGGAAGAAGCTTCAGGCTCCAGGCTTCAGATCAGCACAGCTCCAGCTGTCGCGGCCATTTGGGGAGTAAACCAGTGGATGGAAGAACTTTCTCTCTGTCTCTGCCTCTGCCTCTCTGTAACTCTGCCTTTCAAATAAACAATTTAAAAAAAAAAAAAAAAGGCCCTAAAGAGCATCTGCCTTCCTGACTCTCAGCTCTTACCTGCTCACTGGCTCAGCTCCCATCCCAGCTCCTTCCTGTCGATACCCAGGCCATGCACACGCCCACCCCCGCTGCCCAACACTCACCTCCACCAACTTCATCAGAATACCACCTGATTTTCTGCGGGTGTCAGTTCAGTTCCCTGCCTACGCCATGCAAAACACAGTCCCCACTCTGTACCTGTGGAGGAGTAGCCCCAGGGCTCCCCACCCCCGCACACACACCCAAACCCACAGAAGCTCAAGTCCCTCCTATAAAACAGTGCAAAGAACCTACATACACACACACACACACACACACACATCCTATAGACTTTAAGTCATCCCTAGGTTACTTTAATTCCCAATACAACCAAAATACTCTGCAAGGAGTTGTCCTACCCTACTGCTTAGGGACTGGTGACAAGGACAGAGGCTGCACGCGGCCTATGTAGATGCAGCCGCTTTCCAAAAGACTCCATCGGCTGTGGTTGGAGCTGAGTGTGCAGAACATTCTGGAGCCACTCTAACCCGCAGCACCTGCAGACTCGGCCCTCTGCACCCACCTTGCTTTTCTCCTTGGCCCCTCACTGGCACTCTGCATCTGCTTTCTGTCCAACTCTCTGGAACATGTGTGTTCCCTCTTGCGCACAGCTGCATGCCCATGCTCTGAGCATAAGTGCTGAGAGAACACCGTCCGGAGAAGGCAGCTGCTCTAATCCCCTGAGCCGAGTCCCCGGTGGTGAGTGGCAGGGAGCCAGGATGGCAGGGGGGGGGGGGGGCCCTGGAGTCGGGAGGTGAGGTCAGGGCCACAGACCGGGCCGCGGGACGTGACCGAGGAGCTGCGGGCTTATTCAGAGGGGCTCGCAAGTCTTGGGCGCATTTTCCACAGGATTGCGAACTGATCTGATCTTAAGAAATCACTCCGGAGCCACAGGTCCTAGCCGCTCCCGAGTCTGCGGCGGGCCCGGCGGCAGGCGCCGCCAGGGGCCCAGGGAAGGGGAGGAGCCCAGGAGCTGCCCCCTGCCCCCAGACGCAGGAACTCAGCGGGGGTAGGATTTCCGTGGGAGAAGACCCCAGAACGGCTGGGACCCAGAGCTGGCGGGCCCTGAGGGCGAGCAGCGCGGCACGGCACCGGGCGGGGTTCCAGGAACAAGAGCGTCACAGACAGATTGTCCCACTCCCGGTCTCTGCTGCCGCAGGACGCTGCCCCTTCATGCAGCCGTTGTCTACACTGTCGGGACCCTTGGGGTGCAGGTGGGCGTGGTGGGCCAGGCGGGGGTGCAGCGGGACACGCCGCGGGGGTGCAGCGGGACACGCCACTCGCGCTGGAGAAATCCCGCCACCCCAGCGCCGGCGGGTCCCGAGCGCCCGCGGGGCTGCCCCTTCGGACACGTCCCCGAAGACGCTCGTGGGAAGGAGGCAGATTCCCGGAGTTACTCAGTCGAACCGCGCCACCACTTCCTCCCCAGAGGCCAAACTCCGTGCGCCAGGGGCGAGGCGGCTTTTCAACGTTACTCAGAAAAACCAGCATCATACTGCGGCCCCAGGACCACAAAAAATGTCTCCTGTGCAGTTGGCGGAACCGAGGGACACCTCGTCCTCGAGCGGGAGCCACGCCGAAGAGCGAACACACACCACACACACCGGAGCCTGCGGGGAAGGGCGTGGAGCCGCGTGGGAGCCGCGGAGGAGAGAAGGCAGGAGCGGTTTGGACGGCACCCTGGGAGGGATTTTTGTCAGGAATTCGCGAGAGGGATTGAATGTCCTAAAATCGACCACAATTCTCCATTGTTCCAGGAAAGAGCACACTAGTACCCACCCCCCCCAGCGTGTTTGGGAAAATGTTCGCATCCGCACAGCAGGGGGTGAGGAGTGGGAGAGTGGGAGGCCGGAATGGGCCCAGGCGCCTCCCTGTTGAGGAACCTTGGCAGTCCCTTCCTTCAGTGTTGATCCCCAGTGCAATTTCTGGAAGGGGGTGGGGGAGGTGCCCCCAGGCAAAGCCTCTGTCTGCCTGCTTTGAAACAGCCCCCAACAAGGTGTCCACAGCGTGGACTGGAGATGCTTCCCATCCCATCACCGCCTCTGCCCTGCACCTTGCTACTCAACTTTCCCATCCTCTCAACAGGGAGGAAACAGGAAACCAGGATCAAGACACAGGATTGGCCCAGCATGAACGTCCATCAGGAAGGCCTGGTGCTTCTCTCTAGGACGGGTGGTGAGGACGCTGCGGCTGTCTACTTCCATGGTGGGGGCCAGGCTCAGGGTGAATCCAATGGCAGAACCGAGAGAGGTCCCGAGCACAGAAGCTGGTTCTTGTGACCTCACTGGGATGCCTACATCAAGCCTTTCCTGCATCCAGTTGTCGCTGGTCAGTAACATTCCCTTCCAGGTCTAAGCCTGCTGATGTGGGGTTTTCTGTCACTTACAATGCACATTCCTAGAGGACACCACTGCCCAGCCCTGGGCTTGGTCATGGTAAGTATTCAGTCCACTGCATTTATTCCATGAGAGTTGCCCTGGGGTCATAGGGCAGATGCTGCCTTTGCCCACCCCACCCCCATCGGCTCCCTCAATTCCTCACCAGACCCCTTATCAGGCACCTCTGCATACCCAGAACCTTTCGTGTGGACCACTCAAAATACACTGGAGCTCAAACACGTAAGCTGGATGAATGGTCACTCCAAGATGGAATTGCTGTGGATTTCAAAACGAGGTGCACCTGCTCAAAGTCAGCCTGCACGCCAGTTCCGCCCGACCCCCGCCCTGTCCAGGAGGACATAAAGGTGCTGAGAGGGGACTTTGGAGGAGAGAGTCTGGGTTATGTTTGGAGAGTCTTAGCCATTCTGTAAATGCTCACTGTCCCCACACAAGGGGGACATGTGTGAATGCTTCCAGGCTCACTTGGAGGCCCTGGAGACTGTGCACTGGGGTCTGATGCTAGAGGGATCCAGTGTCACCCAAGGCATTGCCAAGAGAAGGGAGTCCAGAGGGTGCTGCCCTGGGAACAGCCCACTTCCCAGAGTCCCTCAGGGTCGAGGATGCCAGGTGCTCCCCGGATCCCCAGGCTGAGAGGAAGTGGGCACTCACAGAGGAGCCTGCGTGCAGAGAACAGTGCAGAAGACAGATGCTGAGGATCCCAGGAGCGGCCGTCTGCAGGAACGCAGCGTCCTTCTCATCGCGGGAGTTGCAGTCGGCAGAGGTCACGTGGAACCTTCCACGAGCTGTCAAACCACCCATGCAAGACAGACGGCTGAAAGCAGGAAGCGGTCCACGCCAGCAGGCAGGGTGGGAGTAGGGTAGAAGCTACAGGTGAACTAAGAAGGCAGTGGCCTCCTGCCCCATCGGGACTTTAGGTTAAACTAATCTCTGAATGGTGTGTGGGCCGCACACCTGAGCATGAGCAGGCGGGTCCTGACACCTGGCCCGGTTTTCACCTGAAGTAGACACTGCCGCCTCCCACCGAGTGCACTCTAAAGAGGGGTGCAGCAGGAGAGAGGGCTGCTGCATCCTGACTGCATGACAGGGGATGTCTGCTCGCTACCCAGGTGTGCACACCCAGGGCTTCCACCAGCTGCACGCTGGACTGTGCCTGTCCCCTGCGCTCACCAGCACCAGCGCTTGTTACATATGTTTATCTTTCACAGCTTAATTACTGTGTGAGGTGAGGCTGCATTATGGAGTGTCAATGCTCTAATGACCCACAAAGTGAGATGTCGTTTTCACTTTGCTGGGAACACCCTGTCTGGGAGGGTCAAAGTTGTTACAAGCCCCTTCCGTTTATGATGATTTTCCCCTTGTCTTAGGACCTTGTGCCGGCCCCTCTGTGCGGCTCTTCATCTCGCTATGCCCTGTTAAGTTCTGGATGTAGCTCGGCCCTGCCAGGGGTTTGTGTGCTGGAGCCTCGGTGGGGCCATGTTAAGAGGCAGTGGGGTGGGGGTGGGGCATAGTGGGTAAAGCCAGCAATGCAGGTGGGCACAGGTTCGAGTCCCAGCTGCTCCACTTCCAAGCCAGCTCTCTGCTATGGCTCCAGGCTCCTGGCTTCAGATCAGCACATCTTGGCCATTGTGGCCATCTCAGGGGTGAACCAGCGGATGGAAGACCTCTTTCTCTCTGTTTCCCTATAACTCTGACTTTCAAATAAATAAATAAATAAATAGGCAGTGGGACCTTTAAGAGGCGGGGCCCAGTAGGAGGTGGTTACGGACCCCTGCTGGCTTTCTGTGTCACTGTGTCTCCTCTCCCTCAAGTGCCCAGGCTGATGCCATTCTCTGCGAGGCCCTTCCCAGAGCCAGGGCCATGCTCCTTGGACTCTCAGCCTCTAAAATTGTGAGCGAAAGGAGGTAAACTTGTCTTCCTTACAAGCACCCAGCCTTAGGTATTCCATCAGAGTTACAGGAAACGGACCAAAGCTGCACTAGTTCTACCGTGGAACAATCCTTTCTTTGCAGAGATCCAGCCCACGGCCACATCACTGGGTCAAGGCACAGGCACTGGCTTTGAATGCCGGCAGCCTGGGTTCAACACAGTGTTCTGTGATTCTAGTAAGTTCTTACTTTCCTCTCTTAAACAGGGTCCAGAGCCTCAGTCCTATCCTGGAAATGCAGCTGGCCCCGCTGTATGATGGCTCTGCTTAGGGATTCCCGACTGCAGTGTTACGAAAGCAACACACACGCAGTACTGTGCTGCAGCTTCCACGTGTTAGTAACTTTGGTCTGTTGCCAGGCTGATGGTAGGCAGTGCAGTCCTCCAGCCAGCCGTGCGGCCACACAGGGAAAACCGCAGTGCTGTAGAGTGTGCTGCTCAGCCCCTAGCACCTTCAGCTCACGGCCGGCTCACCAGGTCACGACCATCGGAAGTCCAGGCCCATCAGTTGCAGTGGGTGGCTGTGGGCAATAAGACTCCCTGCGTAAAGCCCACGGCACAGTCACTGCACTTAAACAGCAGGGGGCGAGTTTTCATATTGTCACTACACCTCCCTGTCTTTTTCTTCCTTACATCATTGAGACAACATGCAACTACCTGTTCTTTTAATTTTTTAATAATTTCTAAATCACCAGGAATTCCTCACAGGGTCTGGGACCTGATATGGATTAAGATTTCTCTTTCCCTAGATTAAAATCCTGTTTTCCCATCTACCTGTGTTTAATACCTTCTCCATATCATAAGAAATGACTCTTACGAATTGATTTTTTCTTTTTTTTTTTTTTTTTGACAGGCAGAGTGGACAGTGAGAGAGAGAGAGACAGAGAGAAAGGTCTTCCTTTTGCCGTTGGTTCACCCTCCAATGGCCGCCGCGGCCGGCACACCGCGCTGATCCAAAGGCAGGAGCCAGGTGCTTCTCCTGGTCTCCCATGGGGTGCAGGGCCCAAGCACTTGGGCCATCCTCCACTGCCCTCCCTGGCCACAGCAGAGAGCTGGCCTGGAAGAGGGGCAACTGGGACAGAATCCGGTGCCCCGACCGGGACCGGAACCCGGTGTGCCAGCGCCGCAAGGCGGAGGATTAGCCTAGTGAGCTGCGGCGCCGGTTACAAATTGATTTTAAAACTGGGAACTCTTTTATCTGGACCTCAGCTTCAGAGACGTACCCTAAAACCATGCTCCTGGGATCACAGCTTTTTTTAAAAAAAAAAATTATTTATTTGCCAGGCAGAGTTACAGAGAGAGAAGAGAGAGAGAGAGAGAGAGGTCTTCCATCTGCTGGTTCACTCCCCATATGGCCAGAGCAGGGCCAATCTGAAGCCAGGAGCCAGGTGCTTCCTTTGGGTCTTAGGCCATCTTCCACTGCTTTTCCAAGCTATAGCAGAGAGCTGGATCAGAAAAGGAGCAGCCGGGATCTGAACCAGCACCCATATGGGAAGCGGGTGCTGTAGGCGGATGCTTAACCTTCTAAACCTCCGATTTTGCTAACGCAAATGCATGCAAGCTCCTGACATTTTTTCCTACAAAATTTTTTTCCTTCTTGCTATATCCACCTTCCCATCCTCTGCCTCTCAGGCATACTCTGCACTTGATCTTAGCCAAAAGGCCAAGAAGCGATCAGGGCATACTCTAACAAATCAGACCCGCCCTTAGAGTTGCCCTTGTCCCTCCAAGTGTGCAGGCAGAAAACTGTGCTGTGGACTTACACAACCTGTGTAAGTTACAACCCGTGCTGGGCTACCACCTCCATCCTATTCCACTTTCTTCACCTAGCATTGTCTTCATGCTCTGTCTGTAGAACTGTATAAACACCACAGCTGTGAACCCAGGGTCTGTCCCTGCTCCCTGCTCTCAGAAATAACACATAAAAAGCATAAGCAGAAATAAGCAGAGCATTTGTCTTCATCTGTTGGCATTGCTGCGACAAAATACCATTAACAGAATGGCTTAGGAACAACAGAAATTCATTTCTCACAGCTCCGGGAAGTTCAAGGCCAAGGTGCTGACAGATTCTGTGTCTGCTGAGGGTGCACAGGTAGAAGGGGCAAGGACAGGCCTTGTATAGGGGCACTCATTCCACTGGGGAGGACTCCACCCCCAAGAACTAATCACTGACCAAAGGCCCTACCTCCAAATGCCACCACATTGGAAGTTGTGTTTCACTGTGTGAAACCTCATAGCAGCAGGTCCCCTCGGGCAGCCCTGTAGACACTGCTCTAGGGTTGCTGGGTCAAAGGGCACCTGCACACTGCATTCTTGCTAAGCACCGATCACCAGAACTGCCTGCCCCCTGGCCAGCCTCCTGAAAGTTGCAGCACACGTGGGCACGGACACTTGCTGCCAGTCACCTGTTTGCCGTTGCCACTCTGCTGGGGGTACGGGGCATCTAACTCATGCTTGACGTTGTGTTCCTTTGCCATCAGATGTGTCTGAGTCTCTTCAGACACTTGCTAGGCCTGGGCACCCCCTTCTGAGAGCCACCTTTTCTGCCCCTGTCTCGTTTTTCTGCTGGGTTACGTGTCCCTTTGTATTGACTGGCAGGCCTTTCTACAGCCTGTCAGAGACCCCTTGAGCATCTGTAGCCATCACAAATGTGCTCTCCTCGCCTGTTCTCTGTTGCCATGGGCTGTGGTCTTCTCTGCTGAACACACAGCCTTCATTCTGATATAGCCACATGCATAAGTTTTGCACCTCTGGTTTGCATGTGCGGTTTTGTTTCAGAGGCCTTCCTGGGGCAGGCGTTTGGCCGAGCTGCTGAGACACTGGTTACGATGCCTACATCCCACGCCAGAGTTCCGGGGTTTGATCCTTGGCTCTGGCTCCTGACTCCAGCTTCTTGCTAATGCAGACTCCAGGAGGCAGCAGTGACGGCTCAAGTAGTTAGGTCCCTGCCATCCATGTGGGAGACCTGAACTGAGTTCCCAGGCCTCAGCTTCAGGCCAGTCCTGGTCACCATGGGCATCTGAGGACTGAACCGGCGGATGAGAGTTCTCCCATTCTATCATCTATCTATCGCAAATCAATAAAGAGAAAGATGGGACCGGCGCTGTGGCTTAGTGGGTAAAACCTCCGCCTGCAGTGCCGGCATCCCATATGGGCGCTGGTTCAAGTCCCGGGTGCTCCACTTACAATCCAGCTCTTTGTTATGGCCAGGGAAAGCAGTAGAAGATGGCTCAAGTGCTTGGGCCCCTGCACCCATGTGGGAGACCTGGAAGAAGCTCCTGGCTCCTGACTTCCTTCCAATTGGCGCAGCTTATCTATTGTGGCCAACTGGGGAGTGAACCAGCGGATGGAAGACCTCTCTCTCTCTCTGCTTCTCTGTTTCTTTTTCTGTAACTCTGACTTTCAAACAAATAAATACATCTTTAAAAAAAGAGAGTTTTTTTTTTCTTTTTTAGAATGACTCTCCCTCCAGAAGATCTCCCTTCCATACATTTCACAATCAACTCACTGATTCTTCGACAGTTTCTTTTTTCTTTTTTAACAGGCAGAGTGGACAGTGAGAGAGAGAGACAGAGAGAAAGGTCTTCCTTTGCCATTGGTTCACCCTCCAATGGCCGCCGCGGCCGGTGCGCTGCGGCCGGCGCACCGCGCTGATCCAAAGGCAGGAACCAGGTGCTTCTCCTGGTCTCCCATGGGGTGCAGGGCCCAAGCACTTGGGCCATCCTCCACTGCCCTCCCTGGCCACAGCAGAGAGCTGGCCTGGAAGAGGGGCAACCGGGAAAGAATCCGGCGCCCCGACTGGGACTAGAACCCCGTGTGCCGGCACCGCTAGGCGGAGGATTAGCCTATTGAGCCACTGCGTCGGCCTTCGACAGTTTCTGATGGAATTTTGATCCAGATTGAATTAACGGGGCCAGCGCTGTGGTGCAGCAGGTTAAAGCCTTGGCCTGAAGCACTGGCCTCCCATATGGTCGCCAGTTCTAGTCCCGGCTGCTCCACTTTCAATCCAGCTCTGCTGTGGCCTGGGAAAGCAGTGGAAAATGGCCCAAGTCCTTGGGCCCCTGCACCTGCGTGGGAGACCGGAAGAAGCTCCTGGCTCCTGGCTTTGGATCGGCGCAGCTCCAGCCATTGCAGCCATCTGGGGAGTGAACCAGCAGATTGAAGACCTTTCTTTCTGTCTCTACCTCTCTTTGTAACTCTGTATTTCAAATAAATAAAATAAATCTAAAAAAAAAAGATTGTGTTAACAAACAGATGACTCCAGAAGGAAGAACAGCCTTGTGACATTAAGACTTCATGCCCATGCGTACAACATCTCTGTATTATTTTAATGACTCCTTTTTCTTTTTGGTTGTTTTTCCTACACAAGGGCCCTGTGCCTTCTCTGTTAGGTTGATGCTAGGACGCTTTCTAGGTTTTTTGCTGTTGCCAACAGTGACTTTTTTTTCCTTTCAATTACATGGTCACTTCATTAAGAACGTATTCTTCTAAGGCATTTTATAGCGTTTCAAAAATAGTAGTGTTTTTACACTGCATTTGCTCGTAAGTGGTTATTCACTGCCTTTTCCAGTAATTTAGTTGTCAGTGTCTCATCATTTGATTGGACCAATTGAGAGTTTGGGTAGCAGCCAGCTACTAGGGGACTACTGGAAGAAAATCTTAGCAATCTGTAGGTCAGAGGCAATTCTGCTATTGCTTCTGCGCTTGGACCTGCAGCAGCGCTTCGAGCCTCATTTTCTCCCCAGACCCCGTATAAAGCGAGGCATCCTCCACATGTCCCAGTCTTAGGAGCGAGACCAGAAGCAGAGTGCCGTGTTTCACACAGGCTACTTACAAGCTTTGCCTTCAGGGCGCAGCTCAGCAGCAAGCACACCCCAGGCTGCATGCGGCCAGGCACGGGGAAGGGCGGGGGGCTTCTGTGCCTCTCGGGGCTCACGGCCTCCACCTTGATGTGGCCACCAGCCAGGGAGCCTTGTGACTCATTTTCTTTTTAAAGATTTATTTATTTATTTGAAAGGCAGAGTTACACAGAGAGAGAAGGAGAGGCAGAGAGAGAGAGAGACAGAGAGAGGTCTTCCATCCGCTGGTTCACTCCCCAGATGGCTGCAATGGCCGGAGCTTCGCCAATCCGAAGCCAGGAGCCAGGAGCTTCTTCCAGGTCTCCCACATGGGTGCAGGGGCCCAAGGACTTGGGCCATCTTCTACTGCATTTCCAGGCCATAGCAGAGAGCTGGGTTGGAAGTGGAGCAGCCAGGACTTAAACCGGCGCCCATATGGGATGCCGGCACTGCAGGTGGCAGCTTTACCCGTTACGCCACAGTGCCGTTCCCCCCCACCCCGTGACTCATTTTCTAGTGGATTGTTGCTAATGTAGAGAGAAGCTAACGACATCTGAACTGCTCACCTATCCAGAAGCCTTGCGTAAGCTCCTGGTTAGTTCTATTATTTTGCCTGTTAATCAGCCAGGTTTAATATTTATATGAGAAGTTACCATTTGCAAAGAATTGGGACCTACTCTTCCTTCTTCTCATCCTGATAGGTATCACGACATTGTCATTCCTCAGGGCTTAGTCAGATCTCAAATCTAGTCTTCATTAAGACCCTGGAACAGTAGGGAAAATGTGGACTTTACAGCTGGCTCCTCCCCACAGTAAGAATATTCCAAAATGCCTTTCCCAAGTGCGTTGGTTGCTAGGGACTTCTGTAATACAGTGGGCCCTTCACCCCCTATTCACAGGTTCCATATTCATCCATGCAGCCAACCTCAGGTCAAGAATATTCAGAGGGGCCGAGGTTGTGGCTCAACACTGCCCCTTGTGGTGCCTGTGTAGCATCTCAGTGTCAGTTCAAGTCCCAGCTGCTCTGCTTCCCACCAGCTCCCTGCTGATGCACCTGCGAAGGCAGCAAAAGATGACCCAAGTT